ACACAGTTTTCTTCAAATGTCAGTTCATTCAGCATCGATATTCATTTATGGCGCCTCCTTCCAATTTTAGTTTTCGCAGACGTTCGTCTTTGGTGTCGGCATTGTTTTCCAGTTCACAAAAATCATATTCATTTTGATAATGCGTTTAGAGATGTTCTAGAAATCTTATCAGTGGAAATGAGTTTCTGTAATCTTTTCTTGTATTTCTAAAAACAGGTTTGTCTTCAACAGGAGTGTCTCTTCAAAACAAAATAAGTTTGTCTTCAACAGGAGTGTCTCTTCAAAACAAAATAAGTTTGTCTTCAACAGGAGTCTCTTCTCAAAACAAAATAGGTTTGTCTTCAACAGGAGTGTCTCTTCAAAACAAAATAAGTTTGTCTTCAACAGGAGTGTCTCTTCAAAACAAAATAAGTTTGTCTTCAACAGGAGTGTCTAATCAGAATAAAATAAGTTTGTCTTCAACAGGAGTGTCTAATCAAAACAAAATAAGTTTGCCTTTACCAGGAGTGTCTCGTCAAAACAAAATGAGTTTGTCTTCAACAGGAGTGTCTAATCAAAACAAAATAAGTTTGTTTTTACCAGGAGTGTCTTTTCAAAACAGAATAAGTTTGTCTTCAACAGGAGTGTCTCTTCAACAAAAAACAAAAAAAAAACAAAACAAAAAAAAAAAAAGTTTGTCTTCAACAGGAGTGTCTCGTCAAAACAAAATAAGTTCGTTTTCAACAGGAGTGTCTAATCAGAACAAAATAAGTTTGTCTTCAACAGGAGTGTCTCATCAGAACAAAATGAGTTTCTCTTCAACAGGAGTGTCTCATCAGAACAAAATAAGTTTCTCTTCAACAGGATTGTCTCATCAAAACAAAATAAGTTTGTCTTCAACAGGAGTGTCTAATCAAAACAAAATAAGTTTGTTTTTACCAGGAGTGTCTTTTCAAAACAGAATAAGTTTGTCTTCAACAGGAGTGTCTCTTCAACAAAAAAAAAAGTTTGTCTTCAACAGGAGTGTCTCGTCAAAACAAAATAAGTTCGTTTTCAACAGGAGTGTCTAATCAGAACAAAATAAGTTTGTCTTCAACAGGAGTGTCTCATCAGAACAAAATAAGTTTGTCTTCAACAGGAGTGTCTCATCAGAACAAAATGAGTTTTTCTTCAACAGGAGTGTCTCATCAGAACAAAATAAGTTTCTCTTCAACAGGATTGTCTCATCAAAACAAGTTTGTCTTCAACAGGATTGTCTCATCAAAACAAGTTTGTCTTCAACAGGATTGTCTCATCAAAACAAATTTGTCTTCAACAGGATTGTCTTATCAAAACAAAATAGGGATGAGCGACGCACACTTGCCGAGTATCCGGGCGTTACTCAGTAATGTCAAACTTGCACGTCACAGCCCTCACTCAAAAGTAACAGAGGACTCCGAGCTCAGGCTTACCGCCAAAGTCTATACACTGTATTCAGACATCATGAAATGGAGTGCATCACGAGATATAAATACCACACTGCTACAGTTATTCTTACTGCTACTACATACACATTCGCTGCTCTGGAAGACTTCTACTGTCACCCTAAGTTCCTTGGTTGCTACTGATAATCAATACCAGATCGCACAAATCCACCTTTCGTTATTAAAGTGACTGTCTCTCTAAAGACCCTGGTGTATGGTCAACAGAGACCAGACCATGCAATCCGATGCACAATACATCGCGAAAACACTTCCAGACATCCCGTCTGCCGCCTGTTACGTTACCTTGAGGTATCCTGAATACCTCACATCATGAACCCATCACGCTGGAACCTTGTCACTGCGCCAACTCCCGCAGCTAACATGGACACTTGATTCCGTCGACCAGCGTGATACACAGGTGCACAAGTCTAGCCTGGCAACACCCAGATAAGAATATAGTCACACACGTCAACAAAGCTGCCTAATATAGCGGCGCAGTTACGCACATAAGAACAGCATCGGTTCTCATAGGATCCTGACGGTGCGTCCTCCCACTCCAACGTTGTAGAGTCAACTGCTCCACTGACTTCGTGGAATGAACTGCCGCTAATATCAACACGTAGTTCACCACCTCCAGGGGAGTTCTTTCAAACCTAGCATGAAGATCGTGGTCCACATTCCTTAACGAACACCCCCACAGTTTCCTCTTCGTGCACGGCTATACAGATCATTCAACTTGTGATCCCAGCAGATGGGTCCGTTGTGTGATTTACATATTACCCTAATAAGTTTATATCAAAACTCCAAGGGATACACGAACCTCCACGCACTTCTTCTGCCTCCCCACACAGAGCCATATGTGTAGATAACCACTTCGCTTGGGCGAAAATTACCATAAATCAACAAGTTCCTGATTCTGTGGTGCCTAATAGCCAGTCTCTGCAGTCTCGACCATGTGTGATTAGAACCAGACACAAGTCTCTTATTGTTTGACACTTTCACTGAATCCTATCCTCTACCAGTGTTTTTCCCTAGCAGACGCACATCTCTTCAAACCTCATCAGCTGACTCTTCGATAGAGTGAACATTGCTAGTCGATAATCCATCACGAAAATAATCAATTGCTGGTACATTGTAAACAGTATTTTTAAAATCCTCTTGCACATTTGTAAACAGTATTTTTTTTTGCTTCATCTGCATTGTTGCCTTGATTTTCAGTGCACTGAGCCCTTTCATGGTCTTTGACTGCAGCAGCTCCACATGGTGTTCGAATGACAGTCTTCTTTCGAAGGTGATCTCACATTTCGACCCCCATTTGCCTTCTTTCTTGATGTCTATTTTATTAATTGTGAGGCTTGGGACATGGTCTGTAACAATAAATACCATAGGGCACAATAAAACCTTCGCCTTTTCTGGACTGATGACTCCGCTCATCCCAGTAAACCAGCTAGTCACTTTGTTCACTGTTGCCTGTAGTCCTTGAGCTATGTGTTCCTTACCCATAAGCAAAAATATCTTCATAAAATTTCAGTATTGTCCCCGCGCCAGGTGCTTCAAGTTGTGCAATCTTGCTCGTCTAGACACTGAAGAGCACTGATAAAACTGCATATCACAGTGGTAGCCACGGGGCGATATTGTATGATTCTGAAGTCCATGTACAAACACGACTCGAGCAATTAAACAAAAGTGAACGGTAGTGGGAGACTGGCATCCAGCAATTAAAGAAGGTAACTGCGTCAAAGGAAGAAGGGTAATGACCGTAACAACAAACAACAAAACAAAACACAAAAAGTAGACGGCAGGAAGAGACACGACGGATGGCAGGCAGACAGCCAGTACATGAGGAGTCCTTCTAAGGATTATCCAAGAAACTCTTCTTGACGGCAGCAGAGACCTCATAGCCTAGGACCAGACCAGACATGGCTAGCAAAAAGCGAAAAATATTAGAAGGCTCAACACACGTGTGGTAAAGAAAGAATCAAGTCATGAAAGATACTAAGAAAACAGGCTACTGATGTAACCGAGGTTGCACGATAAGTAGAGATGAACGTAGTTCCTCCCCTTCAACTAATAAACAAACTACAATGAGATCTCGGTGGTCCAATTACAGACTGTTTTACAATTCAAGATCACATAATAAACCATTTCCTATATTTATCTGTGTCTCAGGACAAGTCACGGCCAAGCTGTCATTTTCCCTGTACTGATTATTGACACCCATTGTGCTGATACAGTATATTTAGTTTGTACATAAAGTTTCCCCCTTAGAGTGCATCGCTGTTAACATCATCTGATGTAGTAGATGACCTGATAGTCAGAATCCTCAAAGAAATGGCGAATACTTCGTCAAAGGTAAGTTGTTGAACCGTGTAGTAGTCAAGCGCTGTTGGAAGGAATAGGTTCCGGCCTAGCGATCAGCTGGTTGACACGCTATAGGGGTTTTCGTAGACGCAATAATGCCTGTAATGCCGTTAATCCACCGTCTTTTTGGGCCCGATCTACATCTCGCGTCACATTTTCTAAAGTGAACCGTCTGTGTTGACAGCTGATGCTAATAAAATGCCATCCTCGTTTGATCAATGCACTTCACACAAAGTGTTGTCTCACGATCTATATAGTGGATTTGTTTCTTACTTGACCTCAGGTGGTTAGATTAGCTGCTGTTGCCAGGTATCTCATCTCACAAGTGTTTCGTTCTCATAAATGAGATTTTCATAATGTTCAGTGCACTGAAGGACTGTCTGTATATGCTTGCTTCATCTTCTGCTTAAAGTACATGGCGTGTGGTTTTGATAGTAATGTTTATTTATAACCTTCTGTCTTATGTACTTTCAATCAGCTCTAACACAGAGGATCTTCCATGCCATGATGTCAAACTGTGCAGCATCTTCTCTTTCGGTCTGTCTCCCTCTGTAGCTCTTCATATAGTTGTGAATTTCGCTCATAAATATTTCTCTTAAAGCGGACATAATATTTCACCCCACCCAGTTCTGCGTTTTCTCGATATCTCAGTGGCGATTAGACTTTTAAAGCCTATATATGTTTATAACCCATTGGACATTTGCTTGATGATATGGCGACCAACACTCCTTTACTTCCTACGTATCCTAATCCCGATCTTCCTCAAAATTCTTCTTCTTTCCCTGCAGATTTCCTCCTCCTCCTCTTATTCTTCTGTTGAAACGTCATTAGTGCAGATGTTTACTTTGTTGACGCAATATTGACCGTATCCAGACATGAGTGCTTTAATAACAGATTCTGTATGTGAGTGTTTCACTTTCAAAGATACTCGTAACGTTCAGGTATGTGTATGCCTTTAGTTTTTTTTTTTTTTTTGGGGGGGGGGGGGGGGGAAGTTCTTGAAATGTTTTCTTGTGTATATTTTCTGTTCGTCGAAAAAGACTTTTAACAAAGTTCGACTGTACATCTGTTACACCAGAGATACTCGTGGAAAGTGCCGAATTGATTTATTGCTTGTAGATTTATTTCTTAGGAAGCAATGTTCGTTTACTTACCAACTTACTAAAACAAAAAAAGACAAACTACTCAAACTCATACCTTCCACGATCCTGGTGCCGATGATAGCGTCAAGGTTAACGTCTTGGTAGACGTGTCGAAAAAAGGCAAAGGCTCGATCAAGTCCACCCAGGGTTCGATCCAGATAATCGAGGGTGGAGTTTGGTGGAGGAGAAAGTGGAGCAGCGTCATTTCTGAAGGCACCGATTGTAGCACTGGTGCTGAGGAAGGCAAACTGCATTATAAACGAGATCACTTTCATATTGGTGAGTGTGTTTCCTTCTTGTACCTGGCGTTGCCACTACTGTTGTAACGAAACTTTTTATGATGATAGTACCAGCTTGCCTTTCCTCTGCGTCGTTGGCCGCTTGGCTAGTAGCTGATTCTGAAAAAAAAAAAAAAAAAAAGGAAGCATTCGTCAAATGCAAGTCATAGACTGTATCTTACGGTTTATAAAAATTCACACAAGCTCTTTCTGATAGATTTTCAAGTGGATAGAGACTGTAAATGTGTGAGACCACATTTTAGAAACATGTACTTTCTGTATGCATTCCAGGGCCTGATTGTGTTTTACAGGAACATGTACTTTCAGTATGCATTCCAGGGCCTGATTGTGGGTTACAGGAACATGTACTTTCTGTATGCATTCCAGGGCCTGATTGTGGGTTACAGGAACATGTACTTTCTGTATGCATTCCAGGGCCTGATTGTGGGTTACAGCAACATGTACTTTCTGTATGCATTCCAGGGCCTGATTGTGGGTTACAGGAACATGTACTTTCTGTATGCATTCTAGGGCCTGATTGTGGGTTACAGCAACATGTACTTTCTGTATGCATTTCAGGGCCTGATTGTGGGTTACAGGAACATGTACATTCTGTATGCATTCTAGGGCCTGATTGTGGGTTACAGCAACATGTACTTTCTGTATGCATTCCAGGGCCTGATTGTGGGTTACAGCAACATGTACTTTCTGTATGCATTTTAGGGCCTGATTGTGGGTTACAGCAACATGTACTTTCTGTATGCATTTCAGGGCCTGATTGTGGGTTACAGGAACATGTACTTTCTGTATGCATTCCAGGGCCTGATTGTGGGTTAAGGTGAAAGTGTAGCCCCATTTCTCCCCCAAGAAGCATGTCAGAAATGGCGACTAAGTAGATGTTCGCTTATTCATATGTAGGAGTGCGGAATCGCGGCTTAGCTGTAAACAACCACGCAACCTGCCAACCGCCTTTTTTATGTGGGAAGGCGTACTGTATGGAAACAACAGGTATAGAGTTCAAATGGGCGTGTCTCTTCACTGAAATGTATCACTGACACCCGATACGCGTTGGCTATCCTCCAAACGATAAAACGGGAGAGCGGAATACTTTCTGTTACTTGATTAATTCATAATATTTAACGACCTCAAAGGGTTCCCCCCTCTGTTTATTTATAGGAATGGCGTATACACACCGGAACCTACCAATCAAATACCTTTCTTAAATGTTTGTGTATTCTAGACAAAGCAATAAGGTCTACTGTGTTCGTAAATTGTTGCTGTGGTTGTTATTCGACATTTGCTTCGTTAATATAAATTTATGTAACCTATGGTGCCATTTCAATGGTTTGAAATGAATTCTGTCCTTATTCCATAGTTGTGGATTTAAAGCTGTACGATAGACATGGCCAATAAGACACCTTTTTTGGGGGGTGCCTAGTTGACCATGTATCTTAGTGTATTTGTATTTATGGCGAGGCGCAGACGCCGTTTGGAGGTGACAGGTTCAATTCCCGGCACGGTAACTATAGCTTTCGATTTTTATGTTGTCTAGTGTGTTCTTCTATCATTCTACTTCTTTCTATGAGTGCCGATCACAATACTTTCTGTTACTTGATTAATTCATGAGACAAAAAGGCACATTCCACAGTGGAATAAAAATCGGACATTTGAGTCGCATTACTTTTCATCCAGCAGCAAACAAAATTATAGAAGTTTCACAGCCCTTCTGCCTGCTCCTTGGAGAAAAATGTGCTGACCCCGTTAACTCTTTCTGACCCAGGCAGGTGCGGCAGTAAAATAATAAATATTTGACTATGACGTAACTTACCTGTGGAAAACAAACAAACAAACAAACAAACACACACACACACACACATACACAGTAGAGCAGCTTATGGACCCATTTTACCAAATAAACAAAGGGAGACTCCAGATTAAGTCTAGTGAAATTAGCGAACAGGTTATAATATTGTTTTTCCCCCACAATGAAGGAGTCAACGACTCAACAGGATATTATCCATGGAGCCCTGGGCGTACCCGACTGAGAACACTCCAGTCTCTCGGCACCCATTTCACTTGCAGCATTCAAATCACACGGCCCTATCCCACGACAATCAGCTAAAGACAGTTAACAGCGGAAATTGGAAGCGGGCACAAAGTCGTGCAACGTAACAGAAAGCCAGTATCAAGGTTATCACGTGTAACATGAAACTGGTCGAAAGACATTTTACTAGGCCATAGGATGAACGATGAACGGGTTTATTTTTTGGACCCACTAGGAGCCGGACACAGGACAGCCTAGATGATAGGAGACTAACCAAAGTGCATTCAACGAATCAACGCCGTTTGGATCTTGACCTACAATTTTCGACACGGGACAACATCTGTATCGGGGCTTCAAGGGAAAACACTTGACAGTTTGATGCTCTACACCAAATACATGGATTACAGTATAGAAGCATTGTTAAACATTTTCCCTTCTGGAGGAATTAGTCATTTAGTGATCTCTCTCTCCTCCATCTCCTCCCCCTCTCTATACTCTTGTATATGTACATGTGCCTCTTTCTCGCTCTCTACTTTGATGTGGGAGTACCTGTAAACTATTATTTGTTGTCACTACTACTATTAGTTTGTGCAAGTGTTTGTGAGCATGTATATAAAAGAATAGTATTAAAAAAAATGTATGCTGGAACATAAGGTTAATGTTATATGACAGAAAAAGGATAATTTTTATACACCAATAACACACAGGTGTCAGCATGTAGGGAGTCGGTAGTCTAGAACCCACGTTTAAGGCGTTTCCTTCGTGCCAGAGAACTGCATGGCTGTCGGTGAGCACAGTCGTTAACGAAGGCAGTCAGGCTGTAGAGGGGCGACATCTGGCTGATGCGTCTCTGGTTCCTTCCCCAGCACGAGGCTCTACTGGGGTGACCGTTAATAAAGCCTCACTTTTGTATTAATTAAATCCTGGGCAGATGAAGCTTAAAAGCCCTGAAAGGCAATTCATCTACGTGAAGGACACACCGAATGCCAAACCACCACTGCCTTGTGGGAAGTTCCTGTGAGAACAAAGGCTAGGGCAACAAACCCCGACAGAAAATGTGGGTAGGCAGAGCTCATAAGCCCTGGAAGGCAATCAGCCTATGGGATGGGGAAATCCTGAAAATAAACCTCAACCGTCGAAGCTGGAAGATGTCAGCCTACTTGGCACAGGACTAAAAATCGGGCATCTACGCACTAGCGATATGGTCATGTAATCAACATTATTACGTTATGGTGTCATTCCTATGGGACGTGGACGTGTAGGGACGGCGCCGGGTTCCCTGCCTCGAAGGGGACACCCCCTAAGCTACTAGAGCCACACCATCTGAATCTTCTTGAGTGACCAGGGAAGAACAGGGTAATGCAACTAGACACAAACTGACAATTATGCACTGGAATGCTGAGGGAGTGAGGCTGAAGAAAACTGAAATACAAAATTTCTTAAAGCAGCACGATATTGACATATACTGCATCCAAGAGACTCACCTCACAAGTGCACACAGATTCTCTATCAGCGGATACCAAATCTTCCGACACCACAGGTTAAATCGTCCAAAAGGAGGAGTCTTGACTGCTGTCAAGAACACGATCACAGCTTGGGAAACCAAGAGATCTCAGTGTGGGGATACCGAGTTTACCACAGTCACTATCAAGGGTGCAAGGGGAGATGTGACAGTATGCTACATCTACTCACCACCAAACAGAGATATTAATCTGAGACCTATCCAACTAAAAACAGAAAAGTGGATTGCTGACGGAGATCTGAATAGCCACTCACCTAGCTGGGGCTACACAGACGTCAATGCGAAACGAAAAGAGGTAGAAAACTGGATAATCAGCAACACTCTAGTTCTGATAAATCATCGTGACGACCCAGACACATTCTACTCTCGAGCCTGGAGGAAAACTAGCACCCCAGACTTGGCTATAGCAACTGAAGATGTGGAGAAAGCTACCAGCCGGAATGTATGTCAACAGCTGGGAGGCAGTGATCACAGGCCCGTAATCCTTTCTATTAACAAAAGTAGAGAAGTTACTAAGGATAAGAACCCTCCCAGCTGGAACTACAAGAAGGCTAACTGGAGCCTTTTCACTTTCTATTAGGACGACATGTTGAAAAGAGTCTTCTTCAGAAGACTGGAAATAAATGCCAAACTGAAGATCCTCAACACAACTATTCTAAATGCAGCCAAGGGTAACATACCACAAGGCAGCAGGAAAAACTTTAAACCTTACTGGTCGCCTGAACTGGACACTCTGCATTCCAAACTTAGTACCAGGAGGAAAAATAGGGAGAAGGATCCGACAGATAAAAATGTAATACTTCATAACAGAGCAAAAGCAGCCTTCATCAAAGAGGAAAATAATCAGACGAGGAAAAGCTGGCACAAAAAGACGGCGTCATTTAACCTCGAGAAGGACACTTCACGTATCTGGAATCTCACAAAAAGCCTGAATAGAGACAAGACAGAAAAAGCAAGAGTTGTTCTCCAAACAGACGATGGAGCTGTTACTGGCAAGGAAGCAGCAGATGTGCTAGCTGAAACACACCAGAAGGAAACTGAGGTTCATATTCCCATGCAAAGAATAAAAGAAGTACGAAACCAGACCAAGACTCTTCTAGCAGACTCTAGCACAAAAACAACCGAGGCCTGCATGTCAGAAAAGTTTACTATGCAAGAGCTGGAAGTTGGAATTGGAGAGTTGAAAATGAAGAAAGCCCCAGGGGCTGACGGCATTACAAACGAATTTCTCTCTCACCTTGGACCTGCTGTTAAGAAGTTTCTTCTCTGCATTTACAACCAGAGCTGGCAAAAAGGTGTAGTACCGTCAGCCTGGAAGGAATCCCTCATCAAGTCTATCCTTAAAAAGGGTGGAGACAGAAGAGACCCAATATGCTACAGACCCATCAGCCTTCTTAATTGTGTAGGAAAATTGATGGAGAAATTAGTAAA